TGGATTGTCGTTTGCCACTGCTGACGCCTCCAACTGACAACAATCGACAGCGATAGGTGGCTCCACAAGCTGCAGCAGGTCCAAGTTGTCCTCCGGTTGCTCTGGCGGAAGGCTGGGTGTATACTCAGATGGCACAGGAGAATCAATGTACTTGTCAGCGTTGTCTTCCAGGGCCTGAGATAAATGGCGCAAGTTTGCCAAATCCAAGTCTTGCAACATAATTATACTAAAACTTGAAAACCAAGTGTGGGCGATGGTCAAATTTCCACTGCATTTGGAGAACAAAAACTACAAAAACAATTTGGATTGTTCTTGATTGATTTGCTATTCACACAATAAAATATGCTCAACAAAAACAAAGCAGCTGCATGCTCTGAAGTGTCCACATGTTCTGAAGTGTCCACATGCTCTGCAGTGTCCAGCACCTTGCGGCGCTTGTTCCTGCTTTTTGGCTTTGCCTTAGCCTTGCTCTTCTGCTGGGTTTTCTTCTTTCTGTCAGCCTTCTTGGTCTTGGACTTGGCTGCTTTCTTTTTCTTTTTTGCCGAGCGCTTCTCTTGATCACGGGCTTTGCGTTCAACCAGTGTCCATCCACTTGATTTGATCCGACGGTTCACAATGAGCTCTTGAACATCCCGAAACTCTTTTTGATCTTCAGCCGGCATATCCCATAGGACCAGCTCATCCAAAGTGCTTCCCAATTCAGGACCATCAGCAGGTTTTGACTCAGGCTGAGGTTTCCGCAGCAGTTCCTTGATTCTGAGCACCCAATCATCATCACCCAAGCCAATATGATCCAAAATGCAGTCTGTGAGATCAGTCTTGGGCATTTTTCCCAGCACCTCAGAATTTCCAAGGGCAGGGGGGCAGCTGAGATTTTCAGCCAGCACCTTCAGCTCATTGAAGCTCATTTTCTTGACAACTTGTGCCTGCGAAAAATAGCACTTCAGCAGTGATTGCGACTGAGACTCGTCAACAATCATGAAAAACCGTTCCTCAGCAGTTTCCACATGATAGTCAAGAACCTGCCATTCCTCAGGGTTCACCACATGGCCCCAATAAGCAGAGCCACCCGAGTCCAGGACATACCCATCAGAGCCTCCCGGGATGGACACCTTCTCAACAGGCCAGAAGAGGCATGCCCACGTGGCATTGCCAAGGCAAAGTGCAGGTGGACCATCAAAACCCTGCCGCATCAAGCAATGCTGCATGGCAAACTTGGAGAACATTCCATAAGCAATCCGAATGCCCTGCTCTGACAATCTTGAATCTGTGTAATGCCTCAGGAATACAAACGCAGCTGCTCCAATCTGAAGGGTTTGCTCACTCAGGGTACTCCAATTCTTTCTTTTCATAAGCCCTGAAAATTCAGCAGGCAGCTTGTGAGATCTCGCATGGTACCGCCTGACAGGTATGGGGCAAGAACTTGTCACACTGACTCACTTCAAAAGATTACCTATCCATGAAGCTCACTCTTCACCACACAAAAACCACACCCGAACTTGCCTTTTGTCACACAAGAGATTGTCATGTTAAAAGTTAGCCTCTGGAAGAAAACTCAAGGACCACAAGTGTTGAAAAATAGCCCTGGTTGATTTGTCTCTAGTCTCCCTATCCAACACACACAGAAACACAAGATCAGCTGTACCCAACAAAACGCCAATTGAATTGAATCAATCAAAGTGAATCGAAACACAATAAACTTTGACAGTGAGTGGCCTCTTCCGTTTGCGGTCTGGTGTTCTCTTGAAATTGGCCAAAAAGGTGTTCCTGTCCACCACCGCCTTGTGCGCAATGGAACGTGTATTCAATACATGGCTTTGTGTAATCAGCTCCTGGATGGAGTGCACCGTTTGCCGTTTGTTTTTCTGAGAGAGGCCATCCACGCGAATGACTCCATGAAGGTCTTCAACCAGCTTGCTATCTGGCAACGCCAGAAGCATGCCCTTGAGTACATGCCTGCCCGCTTGGGAAGCTGCCCTGAAATCATCACGCTCAAAAAGCAGAAACATGAGGCGAACTGCAGGCGTCACCACCATCTTCAGGTCGTGAATCAACTGAGGTTGAGTTCTGGTATTTGCCACTGTTTGCTCCAGCTGCAATATTGCAGAAAAATCCCTAGCCATGCGGCGCACTGTGTCCTGTGAAGCCCATGAATGACAATCTGACAACCAGAAATATCTGCTTTATATTACAATAGTAGTTGACAATTGATAGTTAGTCAGTATCAGTAAGTCTTTATTTTGGCGCAGACCAAATTTACAGTAGAACACCATCACACATGACATGTCACCAGATGGCATACCATACAGTCTACAGAACATCATCCCTCAGTGGTACTCTGAAACAAATGAATCAATCAAAACCCACCATCAAACAAGTTAGTTTATCATGTCATCATAAGTCCGTCCTGTTGTAAAGGCGGGTTTGAATCGTCAAGGATGCATGCGTAGCAGTCAGGTGGAGCATTGTGCCGCACAAAAGACCATGCTCTCCGCATGAGAATGTGTAAGCACAGATCAACTGTCTTTGGCCCTGTGTCCAACACCCGTTTCTCTGCAATCAGCCTGACAAAGATCGGATGTCTTGATGTCGGAATTGCAGCAAGCCTTTGAAGGTGATTCTCCCCAGCCCAATGGGTCTGAAGGTGAATTGTCCGGTTCAAACAGTCAATGTGGTTTTGATTCTCTTTGACCTCATGAGCATACCAGGTCCAGCAAGGCTCACTGACCACCTGAAGAATGTGGCAAAGGGCCCACAATCTCTCACTCATGCAAAAATAAGCCAAGCGTGTCCCACCACCCAATGCTTTCTTCAAGTCTGAAAACTCCTGCCGCATGTCAGCTCGAGAACCATCACCACGCATTGACCGTCTGGTGGCCAAAGCAATGGCCTCTTGCTCAATATGTTCGTCTGGATCTAGCTTTTTTCTTGCCATCCTCAGATCCATGGTGGTACTTTAATACCATTTTGAGCACATGGAATTCTGGTAATTGTTCAGTGGCAGCATCGTTCCATGCAAACCAGCGCCCCTGCTTTGGGCAGGTGCCCTTGGCCTGGAAAAGCCTGCAGCTGGGAAGCTCCCGCCAAACCTCTTCCATTGAACTATGTGGGCTCATGCCCAAGTCGTCACGGATGTCCTCCCAATATTGATCAAATTCATTGCAAGTCTCCCATGACTCGCGAGACAGCAAAATTTCCATCAAGCGCTTTTTGTGCTCGTGAAAATGGCCAGTGCCATATGGACGATAGGAAAGGCCCCACATGTAATTGCTATGCATCTGTGCCTGCAGGAAAATGCCACGGCAAGAATATTGAAGGGACAGTTTCAGGTCACGGATACACCTGTGGAAAATGTCCCATCTGACGTGAATGAGATGGCCAAGATGATGAATGGCATAAGCTGCACCTGCCATCCCTGTTCCACCTTGGTCAAGCTGAAGGGTCAAGATGGGCACATTCAACCACCAATTAGGATTCTCCGCTTCTGACGGCAGCAGAAACTGTTCCTGTCGATCGGTGAGCTCCATTTGATCTGGATCAGCCTCTGCAGCAGATTCAAATTCAATGCCTGCAAGCCGCATTGAAGAGCCCTGTGCATCAGTGACACGATGACAGAACCTTGTCTGCCCTGGCTCCACTGGTGACAAGCGCAGATACTCCGGGACCCCAAAAGAAGTCAAATTGAATCTCCCGCCTGTACTCAATTGCAACTGATGGGAGATCGCCTGTAGTTGTCTGTACGCTGCCAGCCGCTGGAGCTTGTTATCCTTAGCCAGCTGCTCCACCAAAGATGTTAGGTCAAGTTCCCCAGGAGCCAGCAAAGCATCGCAGGGAAGAATTACCTGTAGTGGTGGCAAACCAGCTGTATGATTTTCATGGCTGAAAATGACTGAGACAAGCACCTCCATTCCCGAATGCTTCGAGGCATCCGACACTAGGTTGAAATGTGAAGCTCCAACCAACGACGATACCAACCTTTGGTCGTATATAATTTGTCGTCTCCTGACCCAAGAGTCAGCAGCATTCTCATGAACACCACCAGCTTTTGATAGACGACTCTTGCAAAATTCCAAGGACTGCCTCACATTCTTGCCAGTGGTCTGAGAATGATCTAAGACATCCCAAATGTTTTCCACAGGCATTGAGAATGAACCATCTTTAGAGTGTCTTCGAGCCGGTGCAGCCTTTGAAACGTCATGCACATCCTGATACCGTCCAGTGATGTAGTCATACAAACCATTGCTCAAGAGTTCAATGATGCCTCTTTGAAGATCTAGCAGGATGAGCATTGAGGGGCTGTTTGAAGACCATGGTGCCTTGGCCATGGATCGCCTTGATCGAGCTGCTTGAAAAGCAAAGACCATCACATCACTAAATGGCAAGGGTAAGTCATCCTCAGCCAATTCACTGGTTATACTGCCAGCTTCCTTCATTGCATTCCACATGCCCATCCAAGACTCAAACGCCGTTTTGTGTTTGTTCCGCACAATGCCCTGCAACCCACTGACCAAGCCTGTTGCTGTTTGGAGCGATACTGCACCATATTGGCCAATCGCAATGTTCAACAGATTTTGATCAGCGGCCTCTTCACACACTCTGCTGCGAATCCGGGTCAGCAGCAATGACTCAACTTCCTTTACAATGTCAATTTTCCTGCCAACATCCAACACAGAAGCAAAGAAAGAAAGGACCGCCTCAGTTGATGCAACACTCTCATCCAAAGCCCCAGGCGGCATGTTGTTTCCACGAAAATGGAAAAATGCACCCGACAGGTCTTTCAGAGCTGTGGTGGCCACAGACTGCTGGAAAAATTGACACCATTTCCAGAATGTGCGACTTTCACCCTTTTTCACCAATCTGTCATGCAAATAGTTCAATGGCCAAAGCAAACAGGGCCCTTCATCTCCTGTGAACTGAAAGACTGACGGGCTTGGTAAACTTTCATCTTCATCCACTGTCAATTGCAAACAATCGCATTGAAAAACAGTTTTGCTGGCCATGTCATCACCTGACTGAACACCAGTGCAGCTTCACTGACTGTTGATATGGCAGCGCAGGCTGACAACAAATGACAACGCTCAGGAATATTGATGAGTACTACAGTAATTTACAAATGACCTGTCACACTTGCTGGCTGATCCAATTTCTTTAAAAGTAAAATCACAAACAAACTTGTTAACCCTTTGCTTGCATTACAGTCTTCAATTATAGCGCGGTTATCTTTGAACCGTCTTTGGCTGGCAGAGTTGACATAGTCTGGACAAAACAAGACCACAACAGAATGGCCACCCACAATGAATAAATTTCAATCAATAAGCGGTCACTCACTACATCCACTCCCATCCAATGCAACACTCTCAGACTCTCTCAGTCAATCTCCATGCGCCTTTACGCCCAAGACATTGCCGCAAGGTTGCCTCCGCAGACAGGTTGACTACTAACCACTGCAGGTGTGTTTGCATCAAGTCCAATGATATGGCAAATCACATACACAACTAACAGCCCCTCCCCCAGTTATTGATTCATATTGAGCTGAAACAAGTCGTTAATTATAATATATAAAGGTTTCAAACAACAACTTATTCTATCATGTCGCCACCCCTGCCACAATTCAAATCAAATGGAAGAAGAGACATGAGTCACATAATTAATAAAGAAAAATTCACTTGAAAATGGCACTGCGTTCTGCTTTTCATCTCCAGAAGTCAGTCAGGCACAATTGGCCAATGCAATGCTGCATGTCAAGGACGCTGTTATCCTCATTGGTTGCCCTCATCACTGTCACTGATGAGACTTAGCCATATTGAGGTCTTGTAGCAATTATGAGACATGATCATGGGGTTCATCTTTGTTTCAGATTCAGGGCAACAAATGATCGTTGAATTGACAATGACGGCGGTCGCAACAAAAAAATCATTGTCAATCAAAATCAAAACTCAGCTCAGGCTCATGTCATGTCATGACCAAGCATGGTCACCATCGCTGCCACCATGGTGCTTTTTCAATGGTGGGTCTGGAGGTGGTGCTTTCATCGCTTGAGATGTTTTTGTTTTCGAACAAGGCTTAACGGTAGGCCTCACTACAGGAGGTCCATGTGGCCCTGGGATACTCTCACGCAGCTCATCAACCTCTGATGCAAGGTCCTGCATGGCTGAACAACGGATGGCATGTATTGCTAACACAGCAGGCTTATTGTAAAATGTTCAAAGGACAGACAAAGCAAAGGACACAGGCATCTGTTTTTACATTTTGAGCATTGCATGTCATGATCGAGCCTCCAGGTCATGTGACATAGTATCCATCCAAACCGAGATCTGATCAAGCAAATCTTCTTGAAAAAATCTTTACACCTCAGTGGAATGATGACTATCTTCAAGAGATATTTCAACAAAGCAGGCAAATGAGTGCAACAACAACAATAAGTTACAGTACACTTTTGCAATTTCCAACTGTCAATGACATGGCAAGATACAGTACACTCAAAGTTCTGTTGCTTTTGATTGATGAAGGCAAACACCTCTGAAATCATGTCACAAAGCAGCAATATTAAGCTCTGGACTGATCTGAAAGCCTCGAATCTTTTCCTCAATGCCCTTCAACTTGTCGTTCAGAGTCACGCTGGATTGAGCCGCCATGGGTCCCCGAGAAAAAAAAGACAAGGTGAGTGTACTTGTTATCTTGCCATGTCATTGACAGTTGGACATTTCAAAAGTGCACTGTGTTGTCATGAGTGCAGTCATTTGCCTGCTTTGTTGAAATATATTAATGTTAACATGCTTCAAGAAGATCTCGACGTCTCTTGGTCATGTGAACAGTCTCATGACAGTCTGAGCCACTGAAATTGCAAGCGCCAAAGGGCAAGTACAATTATGATAGGAAATCAAATCCATTGATCACAGCTCAGTGAGATTTCCAAATATATGTATATACTTGCAATAGTGACACTGACTGAGACAACGAGTGAAGATTGATTTGATCATGCCAAAAAGAATACATGTTCTACCTCGCAAAGATATGTGTCCTTTTTCCTGACAAATCAATGGCTGTTAGTCAAGTCTACCCTGTCCAAAGTCTCAGCGCCTGCTGTAGCCCAAGTAAAAGCACAAAGCGTCATAGTTGAGCCTCGAAGACCAACCAATCATTCAATCTGCAAGGAAGGATTTCACCCTTACTGTCCGGTCCTATTCTATTTTATTATTATTACCATCACGTGTACTCCCAGGACAAAATGCACTGCCCGAGGTAGATTGACAACAATGACAACAAGAAAGCACAGCTTTTGCCATGTCAATGACCAAGACATGAACCATTGCATGTCCACCTGGCAGTTGTTCTGAGCGCCCAGCATCATCACCACCCCTGCCACAATTTTTATGAAGGTGATTTGTTTGATCACTGAATATCAATCAATCCAAAAAACAAATCAGACTCTTGCCAGTTGCACTGGCCCTCAAAATATCAAACCGATTGAACCCATCATGGAAGCATTCCATTCACTACCATTTCCACCCATCAACCTATCATTGTTTTCCACAACGTCCATCGCTGTAAATTTAATTTGTTGCAATTGGTACACTTAATTGCGCCAGACTGGTGACAAGTGGGAGACCACCTATCACCAGTGAATTTGGTCAAATCTGGGTGATAAAAAAACAACCCCTGCCCCAGGAATGTTAATTCATGTTTTGAAACAAGTCTTCAATCCAATGAGATCTTTTCAGACAACGACTGACAACAAATGCTAAGGTTCTGGGTCATATCATCACCCCAGCACAATTCAAACCAAATGGACAAACAGCCCGTCTTCTCAAACGACCGCAACTCACTTCTGGCCCACCACATTGCTGATTCCCACGATCGTTTGGAAATTGATATGTCGTGAGCCATTTCAAGCAGAGTCAAAGGCGGTTCCAAACCAATGGACTTGTACTTCTCAATCAGTGCCTTTGCAATCTTTTCTCTCTTGACATGAGTTCTTGAATGCCCTTCCCCATCATCCACCACAGCCTTGTCACAAACAATCATCGGCGCATCCATTGCTTGATTGATGAAGGCAAACGCAGAAAGGCCTCAGGGTGACTTGAATTGAGCTAGCAGCAGCACATTCATCATGATGATCAGGTTCAACAGCATGGGCAACATCCAATCAGTTAACATCAGAACTCATGGGTATTCAAGAACTCATGTCAAGAGAGAAAAGATTGCAAATTGAGAAGTACAAGTCCATTGTTTTGAAACCGCCTTTGACTCTGCTTGAAAAGGCTCACGACATATCAATTTCCAAACGATCGTGGGAATCAGCAAAATGTTCAAGTATATTTATTTACACTGGAAACACAAGAAGTAACAAATAGCTCATACACTCAGCTTGCATGATAGCCACCCTCCATCAGTGATGTCTCAGTGTCCAGCTTCAGAGTCCACCCACTTCTGACCTCAGAGAAACATGGCATGGAATCTGGACACGACTCTAATTGGCCTCAAACAATTTCAATCCATCAGCACTACATCCACTCCCATACTTACCACAGCCACACTGTCTCCATGCACCTTTCTCACGGCCCCAAGACGTTGCTGTGCACACAGTGAAAATTCACTACAATGGGAATGGGGTGTCAAGTCTAATGATTATGCAAAAAACTGCTAAGATTGCCAAATGTTTGGACAGTGAGACAACAACAGAAGTTTGATTTGATATGCAACAAATGATGCCAAAAAACATAAGGTTTGCTAAATTATATTCAATATTGTTGCTTGATTCATTCATCATGGATTATCAATATCCATCAATCCAAAACCAAACCTGCCAGACTGTCCAGGAAGCAACAACCACACCGAATTCCAGGAGCTTAGCAGCAGCATGTTGCACGCAGCCACTGAGTCACTGCTCTACTGCATCCGAATTAGGAAACATCCCATCCGTCTAACAAGATTTTCTCCAATGGTTCTTCACCGAAGAGATCACCGCTCTGCCAAATTCAATGCTATAAATTTGGCTGGACTGAAGCTTGTCCTTCACACCTGTGAAAGCACCAGTCTCATCATCTCGAACCACCAGACTGCTCCGGCACATTCCACTGGATCTGGTCCGAGACATCTCAAACATAATGGATGATGATGCCCACAGTTGAAGTGGCTTCAGTGAATCTCCTCCAAAATCTCCATGGTATGTGAGTGTGCGCATTGCCTTCATATAGATCAAGACTGCATTGAGAGGTGGGACCTTCGGCAAGCATGATGAGTCTGACTGTTCAAGCACATCATCACCGTCAGTCAAGTAGCCAAGCAGCATCAAAAGTCCAGTCACGGAGCAATGAGCATTGCCCAGCTCTACAAAGGACCTGCAGCAATTGCCCAGCCATTGGTTGGATGCATCACGTTGGCTTGTTCCCCTGCACATGATGGTGAAGCTCGAACATGGTGTTCCAAACCATAGCAAAGCTTTGCTTCTGGTAGCTGCAATTGAAGCAAGATACAGCCTCAGGCCATGCGGTGTCAACACATCGTGGTGGGATGAGCAAGCAATATCAAATGATAGGCCTTCCAGGCCCCCCATCAATTGCTGCCCTGGAAAGGTTTCCAAGTCCACAGTAGAATTCAATGTAGTCGCACCATGCGCGATCAGACTGGCGGTGGAAATAAACTCTTGCCACAAGCGTATATAGTTGGTCCAAAAGAGACAACTTTTGCATCCAGGGATACGCTGCAGAAATCAAGGAGGGCCATACCTCCTGCGCTTGTCCACCTGTGTAGATTTGGTCGTAGTCTAAGAACTGCGCAATCTTTCTTTTCATAGCTTCCCCACTCACAGCACACGCTGGCCAAACCAAATTGCCATCAGCATCAGTGGGAAAGCTTTCCACACACGCCACTGTTGTCAGCGAAGCATCCCGACTGGTGGCCACAAATTTTGCTTCTACCACCTTGTTCTTCTCCAAACGATCTCTAAATGCTGTGACAGCAGGTGCTGGACTCAATGCCGCCATTCCTTCTGAATCAGAGGACTGCACTGCCGCCATTCCTTCTGAATCAGAGGACTGCACTGCCACCATTCCTTCTGATTCAAAGGACTGCACTGGAGCTCCAACAGACTGCACTGGAGCTCCAGACACTGTGCAGCCTTTTTTCATTTTCTTCCTCACACGATCTCGCCGTTGAACACCACCCAGCAGCATTGGAACATAGTACCATGGACAAGAATACATGGCTCCAGTTCAGACGGAATCTGGCTAGCTATTGATGGTTTCTGGTCACAAATGCACATAAATATACATTCAAATTTTTATATTGGTTCATTACCAATTTGCAAAAATGTGAAAAAATGTGGGAAAATGTGGGAAAATGTGGGAAAATATGCATTGCCAATGTGCAAAAATGTGCAAAAATGTGGGAAAATGTGGGAAAATATGCGGATTTCTGTGAATTTAAAAAATATACAATGTGAAAAAATGTGCAAAAAAGTGCAAAAATGTGCAAAAAAGTGCAAAAATGTGCAAAAATGTGGGAAAATGTGGTGAATATCTGAAAATGTGCGAAAATGTGATAGAAATGTGCAAAAATGTGGGAAAATGTGGGAAATTTCTGTGAAAAATATATGCAAACAATGTGGAAAAATATGCAAAAATATGCAAAAATGTGCGGATTTCTGTGATTTTTGCGATTTTTGTTTAAAAAATTGCCTTTCATTGTGCTTGATCCAAAACATTTTACTAGACATCACGCATGACAAACTCATTATCATTTGAGTCCCTCAGTCCATGCTCATTGGTCCACTCTGAGCTCATCATCTCAGTCACTTATTCCCTCACTCACTCCACTCTCATGGCATCATCTCAGTCCCTCAGCCCACTCTCTTCTCAAGTACAGTGGAATTGTTCAAGTACATGACAAAGAAACCTACAAATGCTGCTAAACTCATGCGACTGTCATAGCTGAGCAACATTTTCAAGCTTCTAAATGCCGTGTGCAAGAAGGACAGGTAAATGAACTCATTGGCCCAATCCAATGCCAATCAAATGCTGGCCACACACACACGAACACACTAAGCGCATTTGGAACCATCCTTGGGTCACGTGCAATCAGCTACAGGCTCCTGATGTGAAGCTTTGGTAGATATGTTATGAAACACAATAATTGTCAGTAATCACAACAACACACAATTGCCTGGCAACACAAATAGACAGCAGTTACTATGCAAACACTGATGATGACATGACATTGCTCAAAAGTTACCCTGGAGCTCCAGCCATGCAGCCAATCACACTATCGAAATTTGAAGACAGCGAGGGGACAGTGAATGACAGAATGACAGTGACATTACTATTACAATCAAACCGGCATTGGGCATCCTTGACATGATTTATGATATCAACAAGAGTCCTCACTGACTCACATTGTCCCAGAAAAAGCCACTGAGGAGCAGCTCCATCATCAATCAAGCTGTCAAAAGCCTTCACAAAAGCACTGCCGGGGCGGAGCCTTCTGCCCCCGCTGGAGCACCTCCTGTCCCTTGGACCACTGCCTCCACCTGGGATGGCTGAGATTCAACAGCGGCATTGAGCTCTGCCTCGATCTGATCACGATCATCATCATCTGGAACCACAGTGGCCGATTGACACTTTGACGGGCACCAACCTACTGGCCACCCACCCACCGACCACACCCGCTCAATGCATTGAGAATGGTAAACATGACCACACTCCAATGCCAACAGCGAATGCTCCACAGGACTCATAGTATCCTGACACACAGTGCAAACAAGTTCAGGATGTCCTTGCTCTTCATCATGGGTGCGCATCGTGTCCTGATGTCCTGGAACCTCATCATTGGTATTGTCCCCAAATGGAACCAACTCATTGGGCGTGACCTCAATCGATGCATTGGGCTGCATCTCCTGAATCGGCTGGGGGGAGGTGTTCATCCCCTGGAACTGCAGCAGCAAACCCATGCTCTTCAACAGATCGTTCCTCCACAGCAGGCTCCACCAAAGCAGGCGGCTCCACCAAAGCAGGCGGCTCCACCAAAGCAGTCGGCTCCACCAAAGCAGGCGGCTCCACCAAAGCAGGCGCTCTCAATTCCCGAGGGACAGGAATTGGAGCTGAAGCTTTTCCCTGCCCCAGCCCCACATGCACAAGGGCCACTGCTTTTGAACGGGAGATCATTGCCTTGGCAGGTGGAGGAGATCGCAATGTCAACCCAGCTGCTGCCGACGCCACCGTCACAGACGGGCTTGGAATGCCAGGAGTGCCAGGCGCAACTGCAGACTGGACTGGAGGAGGAGACCTCACGCTGGGCTGCTTGGGAAACATTTCAGGCAGCAAAATCTGGCCAGGATCAGGTGGTCCAAATGGATCTGATGATTCAGACTCTGCTGGCGCTGATGCTGATGCGGTATCTGCAGATGCCTTTGCCTTTGCCTTGGCCTTGGCCTTGGACTTCCCTTTTGGTTGAGATGACAACCATTGATCTTGGAAGCCTTGGCTTCTTGCAAGTGCATCCACCCAATGATCATCAAGAGATGGTTCTGCTTTGATCTACAGGGGACAGGCAATGAATTGACAGAAAACATCCATAGGCCATATGATTATGATATCATGTTATCATAATAATAAATTATTGTTATTATTATAAAGCCTATGGAGTCACACCAATTTCAATCCAAACTTCACTGGCCTTCGAATGAACTTACCGTTGGTTCACAAAGTAAAAAAGGTCCCTGCAGCCACAAAAAACATCATGTCACAACATCCTCAAACCCTATTGACTTTGTACACACACACTGCCACACCTGCTGAACAATATCCCCAACGCCCGATGAGGCAATGTCAACAAGCTTGAGGTACTTCTGACGGAACTTGGCGTTCATTTCAAAGTAGTAATTCACCCGCAATGATGAAAGGGTCACATTTGGCTTGATCCTCGTGAGTAGCCACACCATCTTGTTCAAGGAGCCCGAGTTCAAGTCAGAAGTCACAGTAGCATCGAACTCATTTTCTATGGCTTCCAGCAACCAACTCAATCGAATCTGCAAGGGATGAGTGATCATCATCAGCAGTTTGACTAAATAACAACATTGTCAAGTCCAGACATTCAGCCATTTGTAATTGAAAAAAATAGTAATGGACAACTTCAATGTTATTTATTATGGCTGTAGTAGATTCAAAGGACCCAGAATGTCTTCAAACCCAGCCTTGGGCAGCTGCCTCAAAGCAACAGTGCTCCTGTTGATTCGTGAATCATCTCTGCCACGGACATCAACAGCCTGATACAAAGATACCCTGGCCTGCTGCAAGTCTTGCAACGCAGCTTCAGCAGCTTCAGCAGGAGTAGTGATTGGCACAGAAGAGCGGGATGAATCTCCAGGAGCAGCCACTCCACTGGCTTTGGGTGCAGCAGCAGCCTGCTCCTGCTCTTCCTCACTGAGCTCTTCATCATGATGAGCCGGGGCCAATGCCCAATTGTTCATATTCATCATGGGGTTCATCATGGGGTTCATCGCCATAGCCGGTACCATTTGATTGCCTGGCATCATACCAAACTGGCCTCTGGTCCTCAATCTCTTGGCACGTCGAACTACTTCATTCATCGACATGATGGGGACAGCAAGATGGCAAGGACAGCGAGAGGACAGTGAGACAGCGAAGGGCACTTGATTCACGCGGGCAAGTCAAACAAATACATCCTGCATCATATCAA